CTCCATATATAGATATGAGCGATCCTGATAATAGGCTCATGTTCTTTAAAGAGTTGGCAGCAAAACGAAAAGCTTCACAAGCTAAAAAGGGGGAAGAGGAGGCCCAAATAAAACCACAGGCAGATCTGCAGAACACGTCAGTGTCACAGAAGGAAGAGGATCCAAAAGGAACAACAGAAAGCATGGAACCTTCTGTACCAAAGGGTTCATCAGAAGATAGCACTACATTGTTCACAGAGACATCAAACTCAGAGTCATCACCTTCCTTAAAATCACCCTCTTTGAAGCTTGATGAAAATACCAGGAAGCAGGATAATCTTGTCAGAAGTGATCCCAGTACCCTCAGTACTTCTGGAGAACAAGCACAAGAAGTTTCTATTGAATCGGTGAAAACAGACTTAGAAAGGCGTTCTGCTGAAGAAACCGAAGCTAGTCAGAGCAAATCATCAGAAAACCCAACTGAATCAGAACTTTCTGTCCTGAAGAACTCACCCAAGCAAGGAAATGTTGCTCACACTGCCGTTTCATCCCATGGTGAAGGTGCTGACAAAGGAGAACCTCCTACTTTAGAATATATTTCAATAATTCCTAGTTTAGGGGAAGGTTTATCATCTACTACTCCCCAAAACACTGAATCAGTTCAGTTAGAAACCAGTATTTGCTCTCCTCCTCTTCCCTCGGAAGCAGAAAGTACATCAGAAATAGACTCAGTGCAAGTCTCTACCTCTGATACTCCTCCACTTGACTCAGGTTTGCATAACCGCCTTGCCACGACAGAACAGACCCCATTTTCTGATTCTGCCCAAGAAGTGTACAGCTCTACGGATATTAGTACCACAACATCATCAAATATTGATGAAATTAAAGCTCAGGAATCTGTTAGCTCCTCACAGCAAGAGCCCTCCAATGAAAATGTACAAACCTCTGATCAAACTCATCTAAATGCTGTTTCCCAGTCTGCTTCATCTGAGGACACCTCAGACGCTGATGCTGCAATTACAGAACCTGTTATTTCTCCAGACAAAAAGACTGCTGATCTGGAGCCAGACAAGTTAAATGCCACCACAGAGACAAACGGGACAAAATCTTTTGCTGGTACACCTTTAGTTGACGGTTTAGAGAAAAATGTTACTGAATTAGGACAAGAGGAGTCAGTTGCAGAAGAGTGTGAGGCCCTTAAATCACCTGAAGATGTGAAAGCTCAAAGCACATCTCCTGCTGTTTGTCCATCTGTACCTGATTCCACTTTGCCTAGTGAATCTGGTCCTGAAGGCTCAGTCTCTGAACCAGATTTGGAAAAGACAGTTTCATCTGTCACAGTTCCAGTTGACAACCAACCTGCAGATGTACCTACGGAAACAGGATCACTTGAAAGCACAGAGTCTCCTAAAGCCTCACTGTTGGAAAAAAGTGAACTTCCTCAAGAAGTGGCAATACAAACTGCTCCGTCCTCCAACCTCAAGATAACAGACTTGGCCACACTCTCAGTTCCTAAAACATTATCATCTTCCTCTACGTCTGAGTCAGACCAGTCAGGTTTGGACCCTGAAGATAAGGTATCGGTAACCAGTGTCTCTACAGAGCAAAACTTATCAGATACAAACTCAATATCCAATGACTCTCAACCAAAATCAGAGGAATCTTTTGATCAGCCAACAGCTCAATCACTGAGCAGCCCAAGTGAACCTACCACGGTGGCCCCAGCTGATGCTGATTTTCCATGCAAAATATCTGAAGCAGTCACTCCTCAAAACCAAACACCAGAACCAGCTGCACCTCAGGAGAGTAGTAAAAAAGAGGCTGAGTTAGGGGAGACAGATGAGAAAAAGTCCAACGATCTAGAGGACAAAGATAAGAGCCAGAAGCCATCCACTGAGGATCCTGCAAGCAGGGAGAAAACGAAAGACCAATCAAAGCAGAGTATCTGCTCCGAAACAACAGAGGTGACATCCAAGCAGCCCAAATCGAGTCAGTCTCGCTACCACTCTTCAACAGTGAACGTGATCACAAGCAGCAACCTCCGAGATGACACTAAGCTGCTCCTGGAGAAGATTTCTGCCCAATCTCAGAGCAGGAACGAAGCAACTAAAGAGTCACCCGTCACAGATGACGAGAAAGAAGACAATGCTGACAAAAAGGCCAGAAACGAAAAGGAGTTGGGGTACAGGACATACAACAGGGGGCAAACTAAATCAACTCAGGAGAAGGAGAAGCTTTTGGAGAGGATTCAGAGCATGAGGAAGGAGAGGAAAGTTTACAGTCGTTTTGAGGTAGGAATGTGTTACCAGTTTCATTTAGGTCTTACATAAACATCTGATTGCATATGTAGTAAATTATTTTCTCTGTTTACTTTCTCAACAGATGGCACCTTAGATGGAATCCAAAGGATGTTGAGAAAAGGGAAAGACATTATTTGTTTCTGCAAGATGTCTCTTGCTTTTGCTGCAAACAGGATTTCTACGCACAGAAGGTTGAGGGCACCGACGTTGCCTTCACTTACCTTCACCTGATGAAACTAACAGCAGGACAGAACGCTGCAAAGCTGTTCAGCGGCACGCCCCATGTTCAGTAAAGGATTTGCATCAAAATTTTACTTGCAGAAGACATGATCAAAGCTGTATTTACTGACTGCATGGGTAAAGTGCAATGTGTGCAACAGGATTTTTATGTGGTGACGCCTGTTTTTGCCTTTTTACTGCAGCACTGATTAAAGTTAACTCATTATGTGAGCTTATAAAATCTGAAGTAACCAGAATTTGCAAAGCTGGTAAAACTGTACTATAATTTGTTCTGTAATATATTGTTTTCATTCACTTTAAAGAAAATATGACAGATGTTTGTAGATGGTGGAGTTGAAAGAGGTGAATGTGTAGATTATGTTGATGCATGAGTACAAAGAAAATCATGGAACTACCAGAAAGGACCAGCAGACTGAGAGAAAATCTCCCCTTAAACTGGATTTACAACAGAAAAGTGGTATTGAGACCAAATGTGATATTTTGCTCATTCAATATGAGAGACGTTAAAGATTATTTTCAAGCTGGTTGTATTAAAAGTCCATTATATATAAATTACCCCAAATTGCACATTTTTATCTATATTCTCATAAGAAGATCTCTTGATACTATTTGGTGTTTTAATTATTTGTTTCTTCTTGTTGCCTAATGATCATTTTATACTGAAACTTTGAAATCCTTGAATGGAAGCTGAATCAAATCATGGCGTTTCCTTTGGCGCCATCATGTGGTCAAAATATTACACAAATCTTTAAATACTTGGAATTTGCATCCGATCTATCATACTCTGTCTCGTGTCAATTTTTTTGATATTTTAACAGCCAGAAACTACAATGTCATGTAGTCTGATTTGAAACTCATAAGTTAGAGAATAATGTGATGTGGAAGAAAATATACAAAATATGGTTTGCATATTTTCCAAACCATATTGCACTATGATCCAGTGCAACCAGTTATTCTCAGAACTCAGTAAATATGGAAATAGGCTTGCTGTATACACTTTAGTGAACAAACATCATCATGAAGACCAAGGAGCTGCAGACAGGTCAGGCAAAACATGTTGGAGAAGCTGGCAGTGCTGGAGAGACCCACAGTTCAGGTGGGACGATAGAAAAAACGAATAAATCATTAAATCATTAGTTATACACTCTGTAAATTGGCCTCAACTAGTGTTTGTTTTAAATAAAATGTGTTTTATTACTGTGTATATAGTACAAATGATGTACAATTATACTTTTGTTTTAAACATTAGTTTGAATAGAGAAGTGATGTGATTTTTTTGCTTTAAATGTATTTTTAACCAATTGATCAGATTTTACACTCTGAAACTCAGCAATTTCGTACTATTTTGTTGTCTGACATACTGCAGCCAACAAAATTTCATTGTATTGCTGCATACAGTAACAATAATGTTCTCCATTTCTCTTCTTGGTCATTGAATGTGTGCATTTCTGACTGAAACATTGTCATCATTGTATCCGTTTTGTTCATGTTAATGTGTATTTAAAGACGAGTTTGAATTTTAAAAATTTTACAATCTCTGATCAAAAATCTCACGACCTTCATATTACCTCCATCCTCCATATTACCTCCATGACCTCGCAGGGGTCGTGACCCCCCACATTAAAGACCTCTGCTCTTGATGAACAAAGTTGCCAGAGATATAATCCAAAATAATTAATTTTGCTCAAGATAAACACAGGTCACAAAATGTCTTTGGAGTGCTTTGCCATTTTTATGCAGTTGTACTTGGAAGTCATTAAAGTCAAACAGGAAGCTACATGAAGTCAGAGGATCACAGCCCAACTTCAGGTCACTTGTTCCATCTTCGTGTTTGTAGACTTTTTTTTTTCCAATTAAAAAAATAAAATAAATTTAAACTAAAGAAGCAGCGGGAGCACTGTCGCCTGGCAGCTAGAAGGTCCTGGGTTCTTTTCCCGGCCCAGAATCTTTCTGCACGAAGTTTGCATGTTCTCCCTGTGCATGCATGGACTCTCTCCGGGTACTCCGGCTTCCTCCCACAGTCCAAAAACAAGACTGTTAGGTTAATTGGTCTTTCTAAATTCTCCTTAGGTGTGAGAGTGTGTGTGTCTGTGTGTGTGTGCATGGTTGTTTGTCCTGTCTGTCTCTGTGTTTGCCTGCGATGGACTGGCAACCTGTCCAGGGTGACCCCGCCTCTCGGTTGACAGCTGGAAATAGGCACCAGCAACCCCCCATTGGGATAAGGGTGTAAGAAGATGAATGGATGGATGGATGAATGGATGGAAGCAGCGGGAGCATGAGCATCTTGAAAATGCTCATGCTGAATTTCTGGTGGATTAATTCAGTTATTTTTTTCTTGTGAATCACAAAAGCCATCGATTAGACTTACTTACTTTTCTAAATAATGTTATTAATACAGTAGTAGTTCTCAGAAAACGTAAAAACGACGACCACCCCTCAGCTGTTTACAAACGGTATCATCCAGTGGACAGCTTGATCATGTGACTTTTGCATTCCATTCATTCTACGGAAGCCTGTAGGAGTGTTCGGATTGGCCCTGCAGACAAAGAACTGCTAACGGTTTTGACAGGTTTGGAGAGACGCCGAGTCGCCGACGACAGCTGTGTTGAAATGTAACTAATTTATAAATATCTCGCCTACGTATGTTCACAAAATAAAGAAAATGGTAAGAATATTTATTTTTTGTCATTTTAAGCTTTTTCAGAAGATGACTCTAAAACAGACTGGACCGGAAGTAACCTATGAAATGCGCCATATTGACAATAATAAACACCGTTACACAGCACTACCGAGACTTTCATTGTTTTTTTTTTTTTTTTTTTTTTTTTTTTTTTTGCATTGTAGCACATCTTATGTAAGTAGTAAATTCATCATTTGTTTTTGCCGAGAGCCATTCAATGGCGAACCGGATGTGATCGGCTGCGACGATGATAAATTATCCGTATGTGTTGTTGCATTTTAAATAAATAATAAAATAGATTAGTGTTTCAAAAGGCTCTTTCTGTTGCGCAGATCGTAAGTGTCGGCAAAAGAAGCATTAATAAGAAGATGAACTGCAATGTGTCGCCCGCTTCTTCCTTTATACTACCTGCTTTTGTTTGGTTAAATTTTCATCTGGAATGCAAATATCAGCAAGTACTATTTTTTTCAAATTTTGTGAATGTAAATATGTTCGCTTAAGCAGTGATCCCATTGAAGTACCTCCGAGTGATATTTTATTTATCAAACGTGTTGCAACAAGAAAAAACATGCACATTTACATTTTATTTGTTAATTTCATATTTTTTTTCTCATGTAACTGTTATGTTTCTTTATGTAAAACGAACACAAAGTATTAATGTTTGTTTTGGGGATCAAATATTTGGTTCCTGTTAATGGACTATTTAGATCAAGTTCCTTCACCTTTTGCAGCCACTCTTTGCTCACAGAGCTTCTTTTTCAAAGTATGAAATTGTTAGTTGTTCAGAAAATGTTTCAGATCAGTGTAGCTGGCTGATTTTATTGGGCTAAGGTCGATCACCAGCTTCCTCCTTGTTATATGTCCTTTTCTATACTCCTTCAGTTGGCTATATAATGGTTCCCACTTTGATCCCAAATGACAGGTTTTTTGGTGTCCAGTTTGACAGTGGCTGTTGGGAGCAGGATCGTCTGGAAGACGGCATCCAGTCGGACGGACTGATGCCTGGAGACAAAACCTCTGGAAGAGGGCATAAGTCCTCCAACACCTTCTTCATGGAGACTGGTCCTGGAAATCAAGTCCCTCAGGCCGCCTGCGTGAACTTGGAGCCCACTGTTATTGGTAAATCTCACCACGTTTGGGAACGATGTAGAAAAACATTGCTTGTCTTTCTATTAGTACTGTCAACTGATTAAAAATGAATCATGATCAATCACTATGCCTAACTTTGTGAACTTGAAATATAAATATGTATGCAGACGTGGTTCTTGCTTCTGAATGTGCGACATGTAAGATGTTGAGTTCGTACACATAGATGTATTCTACATGAGCGCTTAGACGAAACCCCGTTCCCTTTCAGTTCTGGGATCATCATGCGGTTTTCTGGTTTTAAATGCTGCTGCTAACTGTGGCGGTAGACACATCTGTTATTCACTGAAACAACTCGATACCTTCATACTTGCCTTGACTTGTGCATTTAATTTGATATTCAATGTGCTTATCAGATGATAGTCCAGCCAGCAGCTGTTGTAGCTGCACTGTGTAACTCCTGAAACTTTGAAAAATGTATCAACCTCCGCAGAAAATTCATTACTCGATGGTCAGGGTTTTTTTTGCACCTGTTGATGCAATGACAGGTTCTACTATAACTTTTCTGTGTCAGTCCAAGTCATTCACCCAACACCATGACTCCATGTTGTTCCTTCTGATAAAATGAAAGTACAAACTAGTTGCTAAATAAAGACTGTAGTCAAACTTGCACACCTAATGCAATGTTACATTGACATGCACACTTGGGCTAGCGATGCAACACAAGAAAGTTGAAAAGTTTTCAACCTTTGTTGCCATCTGCTGTCGTAGAAAACATTCACCTTTCACCTTTTATTTGTCTCAGAACGTGCTGCTGTGAACTAGGTAAACCTCCACAGGAGAGAGGCTTTTAGGGTAAAATAGGTAACTCGGTTAATTTACATTACTGTCATAATGCATTAAAATATTCTAATCACATGCATTGATATTGACAGCCCTACTTTCTATGCACTTTCACTTTCAGACAAACTTTTCTTAAATACACACTCTCTCTTTTAGATCGTTTGTATCCTAAGTTTTTGTAGACTATTTATCTTTTGTTCCTGTTATTTTAGGATTATTTGACAGTTACTAACATCTGGTGTGAATTTAATGTCAAGACCCCTTTAAGAAGTGTTGAAGCTGAGAAACAGTCTAGAATAGATACTTCCTTAAATATATGACGTGTTTCAATGTTTCCAGCAGATGTTAAGCAGATACTGATGGTTAAAGAAGAAGCTCCAGAAGACCAAAAACCTAATGTGGACCTGTATGACCTTAAGCTCCACCACATAAAGGAGGAAGAGGAGGCAGTCTGCATCAGTCAGGGGGAAGAGCTGCAAAATGTGAAGGAGGAGACAGAAGGTGCCATGAAGAGTGAGGATGATGAACAATCCCCTCTGCTCTCACAGCTTTATCAAGATCAAATTAAAGACAGAGAACTACCAGAAGCAAAGAATGAAGGACATTTTATCAAGACAGAAGATTATGAAGATGATTCCAACTTCTTAGAGTCTGAAGACACCAAGAAGGAGGAAGAGGACGATGATGTAAAGCACCCCGTCTCTGAGATGAAACACTTGGACTATGGACTGAAAACTGAGAACATGGACAATGACTGGATGGAGAGCAGAACTCCTGAGTCGGATGGAAACCAAGCTAACAAACCAAATTCAGAAATAGAGTCTCCATGCTTGTTGGATATTAAGAAATGTGCTACAGAGTACAAAAATGTTGATTCACAAAGGAAGGTCCAAACTGGAGAGAAGTTTAACTGTGAAGACTGTGGCAAAACATTTATTAGAAAACAAAATTTAAGCAGGCACATGAGAAGCCACACAGGGCAGAAACCTTTCTGTTGTGATCTCTGTGGACACAGATTTAGCGAAAAATCATATTTAACTGCACACATGAGAATCCACACAGGTCAGAAACCTTTCTCTTGTGATATCTGTGGGCATAAATTTAACCAAAGAGCACATTTAATCATGCACATGAGAATCCACACGGGACATAAACCTTTCTGTTGTGATATCTGCGGACATAGATTTAGCCAAAAAGCAAATTTAATTATGCACATGAGAATCCACACGGGAGAGAAACCTTTCTGTTGTGATATCTGTGGACATAGATTTAGCCAAAAATCATATTTAACCAGACACATGATAATCCACACAGGACAGAAACCTTTTTGTTGTGATATCTGTGGACATAGATTTAGCAAAAAAGCACAATTAATCTCACACATGGAGATCCACACACGACAGAAGCCTTTTTGTTGTGATGTATGTGGACACAGATTTAGCTATAAATCATACTTAAAGACACACATGAGAATCCATACAGGACAAAAACCGTTCTGTTGTGATATCTGTGGACACAGATTTTTTCAAAAAGCCAATTTAAACAGACACATGGTGATCCACACGGGACAGAAACCTTTCTGTTGTGATCTCTGTGGACATAGGTTTTTCCATAAATCACAGTTAAACACACACATGAGAATACACACAGGACAGAAACCTTTCTGTTGTGATATCTGTGGACACAGATGTAACCGAAAAACACTTTTAAATAGACACATGAAAAGTCACACAGGAGAGAAGCCATTCTGTTGCGATGTCTGTGGACACAGATGTAGCCGAAAATCACATTTAATCATACATATGAGAATCCACACAGGAGAGAAACCTTTCTGTTGTGAAATCTGTGGATACAAATTTAGACATAAATCAACTTTAAGCACACACATGATAATCCACACAGGAGAGAAAATATCTCTGTTATGATGATTCAAACTGCACAGCTGCTGTTGGCTGTGAAATATTTATGCGTCACCATTCACTTTATTTCGAACATTCTACTTATTGAACATTTTCAAAGTTATAACAGTCCTGTACAGTGCACATACAAATTATTAAGATGTGTAGCAAATACTGAATACATCCACATCAATGTCCTTATTAGGTGTTATATTTCAGGCGGTTGTCCTCGGAGTTCTCAGGTACTCCCAGCACTCTACCAAGTGTTACTGTAAAAATGTCCTCCTGACATTAAATCTTAGACTTTCCTGAGAAATGTAGCCTGATATCTAGTATTTCCACAAATGTATTGGGTAATTTAGAGAGGCTCTAGTTTTGTCTTAACGACAGTGATCCCTTGTTTATCGCGGGGTTGCGTTCCGAAAATAACCCGCGATAAGTGAAATCCGCAAAGTAGTTACCTTTAATTTTTACAATTATTATACAGCATAAATAAATACTCTACATTGAAACCAAAGAACAAAACCTGTTCACCAATCCGGCCTTAATGTGATCTGGAGTCATGTCATTAAAGCGTCTCCTCCAACCTGCCCTGAGAGATTCACAGCTGTTCCTACGGCAGAGCGATGGATCTTGCCAAGCGAGCCTCTGGTCTGGTTTTGTTGCCTCTGGCTACTTTTTTTTTTCCAGCTGGCATTCAAAGTTTCAGCTTTCATCTCCTCAATGGTCAATCTGTATTACTTATATTTAAATACCGTAAGGTTATTGTCACTCAGGTAGAGAAGGAGCTCAGAGACTGTTTAGCCAATCAGAATGCAGAACACAATGCACTGTGAAAAAACTGAACAAAAAAATCCGCGAAGCAGCGAGACCACGAAAGGTGAACCACGTTATAGCGAGGGATCACTGTCTACATGTACAAAAATATAGAGACATTTTGTTAGATATTACACTGAATTTCTCTGAATCCAAAAACTTATGGATAGTTTTGAGAGTAAAAGTAAAATTTCCTCCCATATTTCTGTGTTTATTGATATTTTTAGTTGATTCTCCCATAATTTTATTAGAAATGGTAGTTTGTATTCAACTGTTATAGTTTGGCAAAAAAAAAATTGGATACAAAGTGAACTTGTTTGAGACTATCTAGAAGAGTCTTTTCTAATCAGTTAAAGTTATCTGGGACATTGAGAGGAATCAGTGACTGATCTAAAAGTATTTATGAAATTCCTTCATTTGTAGTTTCTGTATGGCCTGTTGGGACTCAAATGTTTTGAATTTTCCTCCGTCCCACAGATCATTTATATTTCAAGTTTCTGCTACAAACCAGCTCTGAAAATTAGATCCAGTCATTGTTGTTAAACAATTCAGTTTATGTTTGGTACAAAATCATTTCCGCAAAGAAATCCAGGTACTTGAGACATTAGTAATTAGAAAATAGCATTTTCCTGTAATTGGTGATTCATTTGTGCATCAATCAGGCAAATTGCAGTTTGGAGAAGGTTGCTTCAGTCTCCAACCATGTTGCTCTAGGTTCAGCAGTTTCCAAAATGAAATAATTCTGGCTTATATTGAGATTTCATCTATTGTTCAGATTGAGCAGTAGCACACGTGCATTTAGTGGGTGCATTCCCACCAGCCCTGTTTAGTCTGCTATAATCAAACTCTAGTTTGTTTGTCTAGCAAGTCCAGTTCATTTGTGGAGGTGTGGATGCATAATCGAACTCTAATGCAAACCGAAAAAGCCCTAAACCTGAACATCTAAGTCTTGGTTCGGCTAAAGTCGACTCTGGAGCAGGTTGAATGCTTATGTGGATGCAAGAGGACCAGAGACCGCTCCAAAAGCAGGAAGCGGACAATAGTGCAGGGTATTCCGGGTAAATGGAGCAAAAATAAATGCATAAGTCTAGCACTACAGGGTGAAATGGTTTGTAGTCTTTAGCCAGAGACAAAAGAGGAATTCTACAACCACTAAAATCCAACAGTTATCCATCTTTGTTTACATTTTGTGCTGGTTTTCCTCTGAGGTTTTCCTTCAGTCGTTGTTGACAGAAACAGGGGGAACAGGTTGCTCAAAGGGTTTGGATCGTTTGACAGTGCAGTGTGAAAGCGAATCGCATCAGCAGAAAATCTAACAAATATTGCAAGTTTGGTCTCCAATCGAACCAGGACTACCGGATTATCAAGTATAAAAACACCCAAAGTCCACGTGTGTCTCCACACAAGGCGGATTGTTTCTATGATGCCACAAGATGTCGACGCTGCCATTACCAACATCAAAACCGAGCGCACCATCCAGTTTGTGGACCCGCTGGTTTCAAGGTGGCATCAACAACCAGCTTCCCACTGTGGTTCCTGGTGGAGACATGGCCAAGGTCCAGAGGGCCGAGTGAAGGTTGAATAACACCATGGCTGTTGCAGAGGCCTGGGCTTAGCTCCACCACATGGTTGACCTGATGTACGCCAAGCGTTCCTTGTTTCATCGGAGTGAGGATGAGGGCATGGAGGACGGGGAGTTCTCTGAGGCCAGGAAGGACATGGCTGCACTAGAAAAGGATTGTGAGGAGGATGGAATCGGTTCCATTGAAGAGGAAGGTGAGGGAGGAGAGGAATACTAAAATGGCCACAAAGTTTCCTGAAACAACTTCTGTAGAAGTTCAGAAGTTTTTAAACATGCTGTTTTGAAGAACTCTGAAATGTTGGCACCACAACCAATTATTGGATGAATGTTCATAGATTGAAAATAATTATTTATGTTTGAACTTTACATTCCATCGTGTGGTAAGAAACTATTTTGTCTTTGTTTATCCAACACATGTCTATGAATCAATAGAAAAATACTTAAAATCTGTTCAGTAAGAATGTAAATACTCTGTTCCTCTTTATGTGATTAGATTGACTCTGGAAAATATTGAAAATGTGATCTTGTGCCTGTTAACAGGAATCTTCCTTAATTCTCTGTGGTGCTTACATAGTGACTGGGTAATATTTATGCATTTTATTCCCCAATAAAAACTAAATTATTGGAGTTGATTTCCTGCATTTGCACTTCATGAACTGAACAGATTCAATATAAATATTAAATATTCACACAAAGAGAATATTTTCTATTTATTTTAATGTTTTCCACAAAAAGTAAACACTGAAGAGGAAACGATGGGACCTGGTTGATTTTATCAGGTCTCCTAAATATATGAAAATTTGCTATTCATTGGGTTTGGTTAACTTGCAGATCTGTCCAAGATTAATCAGCTGTTTCTAATGTGAACAAAACAGACGCTCTTGTTAAAGAATTTAATATTCTTTATTTTTTAGACTGCAATTTCAGGTCAAACTGTACACATGAATCTTTCCTCAGAGTTTAATGTAAATACTGGGGATCCAGGAGGCCTGAGGGCTGCAGGCAGCTCTGCTTTACCTGGATGAGATGTTGGAGGTCTTTGCTTTCTCAGTGAGAACTGGGCCGGGCCTTTGCTGCTGATGGTTAGATGACAGAAAGAGAATAGTGGAATAGATGAGAGTTGCACATAAATGAGAAATTCATCAATCTCTAATGCCCCACTGAGGATATTTTTATGGAGGGTTTTTTGTAACAAGATCATAAATTGGCCACAAAATATTAGTTTGAGTCTTATAATATTGTTTTAAATGAATGTTTTTGTTAAAACATATGAATGTCAGAAACAATATTTAGGATTACTTTTCCAAAATTAAGATGATGAAAATCTAACCTTGTTAAAAGTGGTGATTGTCGCCTTTAAATGTTTGCATTACATCAACATGTAATGTAATACTGCCCCCTTGTGGCGATAGAGTGGTTCACAAGTCAAGTCAGGACACGCCATGGCAAAATTCAGGAAATGCTATCATAGATTCACAATACAAAAAGAACACAAAATCATACAAAACTATTTTTATGTATATGAACAAATATATAAATATTTATTTACTAAATTATTTCAAAAGTTACGCATGGAAAAATGACTTTGGGTGAAACTATTGACAAATGACATCTTAATGCAGCTGGTTTGCACTGGATTTTATATAAAAGGAAAAGACAAAAAGGAGCAAAATCCACAGCACACTTCAGATATTATTTAATTTAATTTAATTATGCACTATTTTATGTTGGTTTATCACATAAAAGGTCTGCGTCAGG